CTGGCCCATTGTCTGGGAGACCAAGAACTCCGCACCAGGGGCTGAAAGCACCTGGGTCTGCTGGCAGGAGCCAGGTGGGAGGTTTCCAGGCAGTGTCACTGAGCTGGGAGGGGGCCGCGCATGATAGCCTGGACCTGAGCAGAGGTGGGCTCTGCCTGCCAGCCAGAAGGTGCGAGCAAACACCCAGGGCTCCCGAGCTGGGCCTGCTCCTAGCTCCTGCCCCGTCCCAGAGCACAAGAGGGCCCCTGGCTGGGGCGTGAATGGGGACGGGGCGGGTGCGGGATGGATGCAGCACCCATCTGGCGGGGCGTGGCCACCGCCCTCCACCCTTGGGTCCCCTTTGTAGGAGTGACTTCTGTGGGGGGCGTAGGCAGACACCCCTTCAACAGGGAGGCTCACGGTTCTCGGGGACCCAGCCGCCAGCAGCCCCTCCCACCTGCGCTCAGGTTTAGGGGTGCAGGGGCTAATGCCTGGCCTGCCACACCCAGCATCTGCTGCTCCCAGGCCAGGCCCAGCAGGATGGGGTTCCCCCCTCCCCCGCAGTGGAGGGGCACCCCTTCAGCTGGGGTCTCAGCTGGGCTGAATAATTAACCAGGGACACCCTGTGGCCCAGGCTTTAGGACTGGTCTTCCTGCCGTCTGCGGGTAATTAGGATAATTACCCGCTGCTCAGACAGGGGGCCAGCAGACCTGGGAGAAAGGCCAGGGGCCTCCCTGCCTCTGACCCAGCTGCCCTGCCTGCTCTCAGTCCGCGTCCAGGCCTGAGGGTCATCCCTGTTGGCCTAGGGCCGGGCAGGTCCACACAGGCCTGGGCAGACACGCAGGAAACACAGGGGGATGCTGGCCCCTCAGGAAGTCCCGCCCCCACCACCCCCCTGCCGCGCCAGCTGCAGCCGACCTTTGGCTCCGGTCTGAGGCAGCAAGGCCGGACAGACTCCCAGAAGGGGCCTGGGGCTGGGGCTTCATTCTGGGTCAGGAGTTACCACAGCCCTGAGGCTCCTTTCTCATTTCACAGCAAATGCCTTGTGAAATGAGCCGCGGTGTGCAAACGTCCAAATGCAAAGGACGGCCACTCCCCGACCCCCGACCCCCAAGGACAGAGCAGCTGGGCTGGCAGACGCTCAGGTTATTTGAGTTCTGCCAGAGAACCCCAGCCTAAGTCCCGGGGAGCAGGGCGTGGGGCTCAGGAGGGGCCCTGACCAGAGCGGGGCTCTAGGCCCAGCCCCGCCCGACGCTGCTGAGTCCAGGCTTCAAAGGGCAGCAGGCCCCGGGCCAGGAAGAGCAGGGAGGCCTCTGTCCCTGTGTTTATCTCTCTTCTGCATCCCCGGGACCCACTCCCACCCCCAACTGTGTCTGCAGGCTCCGCCTCAGGCCGCAGGGACCACTCAGACCTTACCTGGCCCTGGAGCCAGGGGTCCACAGGGCGTGCTGGCTGCTCCCTGCCACATTCTGCAGGGACCCTCCCCCTCCTATTGTGTCCGACTCTATGACCCCATGGACTGTAGCCCACCAGTTAGGCTCCTCTGTCCACGGAATTCTCCGGGCAAGAATACTGAGCAGGTTGCCATGTCCTCCTCCAGGGGGGTCTTCCCGCTCCAGGGATCAAACCTGGGTCTTCTGCGCCTTCTGCATTGCTTTGCAGGCAGATTCTTTTCCGCTGAGCCACTTGCTATCCCCTAAGGGAAGCAGCACATCTTGCCATTGTTAATACCGCTTCCTGGTTTAAAAAATTCAGGCAGAACCAAGGGCAAATGGTAGAAACAAGGCCTCCCCGCATGCAGAGGCTGCCTGGTGACCGACAGTGCAGAGGAACAAGCGGGCTGTGGGTTTGCTCAGGACAGTGAGGAGCTGGTTCAGCACTTGCCCAGGTGCCGCCACGTGGTGCCCACAGCTGCCCGATGTCCTTCACTGGTGCCCTTCGATGGACCGAGGCCGCGCTGTTTCTGGCTCTGCTTCAGATGCAAAGCAGCAATGGCTGTGTGCACACGCGCGCAGATATTCCTGCAGGAGAGGTTCTGGGAAGCAGATGGGCTGGCTGCTCATGGGCTTTTGTTAGGTGAGGGGCACTGTCTCCCCGCCTCCAACCTCAGACTGGTTGGGGGTGGATCCGTCTCCCCACCACTCCCGTCCTGTCCCACTTCAAAGCCTGCAATGTTTGAAGGTCATATAAGTTTGCAATTCTCTGATTCTGGGCGAAGTTAAGCATCTTCCAGCCAACAGCCACATGGGTATCCTTTGGCATGCATTGGGGCTGCTTGCCCAACTTACCAGCAACATGCTCACTCACAGGACCCTGTGCTGGGGAGCCCGCCCCTGGTTGGGATATCAGTTAGCAACAACCTTTTCCCAGTATGTGGTATATCCTTTGACTTAAAAGATTATATACATGTAAAACTTTGCAATTTGTAATTTAAATTTATCAAAAAAAAAATTTAAGACTTCTGTTTGGTCGTGCCGGGCAGTTTTCCTCATCGTGAGACTATTAAATGTCTCCTTTGTCTTCTTCAAATGTTTTCTGGGTTTGTTTTCGGCGTTTATCTTTCTGGTCCATAAGGAATTTATTTTGGAGTAAAATAGGAGTCCAGTGTCTTGTTTCTTTCCGATGGTCACTCAGTTGTCCCAACACACTTTATTAAAGAAGACCCTTTTCCTTGCAGACTTTAAATGCCAAATAATCATATGCTGGGGTTTCCCCGATGCTTCAGTGGGTGAAGAAACCACCTGCAATGCAGGAGACACAGGAGACTCAGGTTCAATCCCTGGATCAGGAGGATCCCCTGCAGAAGGAAATGGCGCCCACTCCAGTATTCTTGCCTGGGAAATCCCACGGACAGAGGAGTCTGGAGGGCTGCGGTCCAATAGGCAGCGAAAAGTCGGACATGAGTGACTAAGCACGTGATCAAACGCTAAATTAGATCTCTGATCTTCATGTCTAGTCAGGCATCTATGACAGAATGTTCTGGTTGGTTCTGTGACAGGTTCTACTCTGGCAGGACTGGAGTCTTTTTTTTTAGAATTATATAGGCTATTGTTTTGGGAAGTCTTTTTTTTTTTTTACTTTTACAAATTGTGGTAAAACACATAAAAAACATGAAATTTATTATTTTTAAAAAAAAACTTTTTTTTTTTTTTTTCCACTGCAACCATCTCTAAGGGCGCAGTTCGGGGGCATTAAGTACATCCGCGTCGTCAGGCAGCTCTCATCAGCATCCACTGGCTGAGCTTTTCCACTTTCCTTCCTGAGTCTGAAACTGTCTCCATTAAATATTCACTCCTCATCCTGCCCCCGCCCTCAGCAATTACCATTCTACTTTCTGTCTCTAAGAATCTGATTACTCTAGGAATCATAAAGAGTTTGCTTTTTGTGACTGGCTTAATTCTCTTAGTGTAATGTCTTCAAGGCTCATCCATGTGCCTTTTAAAGGCTGAATAATATTCCATTGTATGGATGGACCACATTTTGTTTATCTATTCATCCATGGGTGGACATTTGGGATACAGCCATCTTTGGGCTATTGTAAATAAAGTTGCTGTGAACACAGGTGTACAAATATCTATTTGAGTCTCTGCTCTCAACTCTTTCAGGCATATATTCAGAAGTGGAACAGCTGGGTTGTATGGGAGTTCTATCTATATAGAAGCAACACCATCTTGCATTCCCACCAACAGGGCATAGGGTTCTAATTCTCCACAGACATCCTCCCAACACTGATCATTATTAATTTCTAACAGTAGTCATCCTAACAGGTATGAAGTGGTATCTCCTTCTGGTGTGGATTTGCATCTCCCTAATGATTTGTTTTTTGGGGGCTCCAAAATCACTGCAGATGGTGACTGCAGCCATGAAATTAAAAGACGCTTACTCCTTGGAAGGAAAGTTATGATCAACCTAGAGAGCATATTAAAAAGCATAGACATTACTTTGCCAACAAAGGTTCATCTGGTCAAGCCTATGGTTTTTCCAGTGGTCATGTATGGATGTGAGAGTTGGACTGTGAAGAAAGCTGAGGGCCGAAAAATTGATGCTTTTGAACTGTGGTATTGGAGAAGACTCTTGAGAGTCCCTTGGACTGCAAGGAGATCCAACCAGTCCATCCTAAAGGAGATCAGTCCTGGGTGTTCACTGGAAGGACTAATGCTGAAGCTGAAACTCTAGTACTTTGGCCAACTCATGCAAAGAGTTGACTCATTGGAAAAGACCCTGATGCTGGGAGGGATTGAGGGAAGGAGGAGAAGGGGACGACAGAGGATGAGATGGTTGGATGGCATCACCGACTCGATGGACATGAGTTTGAGTAAACTCCGGGAGCTGGTGATGGACAGGGAGGCCTGGCGTGCTGCAATTCATGGGGTCACAAAGAGTCGGACACAATTGAGCGACTGAACTGAACTGAATGACTAATGGTATTGACCATCTTCCTATGTGCTTGTCGGCCATTGGGGTATCTTCTTCGGAGACATGTCTATTCAAGTCCTTTCAGGCTAATTATTCTTGCATCTTTGTTTTTTTCATGGACTTCAAGATTGGTTCACATAATTATTAGAAAAAAAAAAAGTCCTGTAGCTGCTAAGGTTGCATCCAATGTACAGGTCACCTTGGGGGGACTATGGTCTCACCCTCCTCCAGTTTCCTTTTCAGTCCTCACTGCAGGTTCCTGGCTAGTCTACTTGTTTTTCCCACCCTCTCCCTACGGCTCCAGGTACTGCCCCCACTTTAGGATGCCTCCAGACGCCCCAGTTCTGTCCTGAATCCCAAACACTCCTGGACAGCTCCCCTGAGTGTCCTTAGGTCTCTCCACCATTCCATGTCAAACTCAGCAGCTGACCCCTGCACACACGCTCTCCTGGCCCGTTCGCCTGGTTCCAGTGACAGCAGGGGTCCAGGTGACCACTGGGCATCCTCCTTGCCTCCTCTCTTCCTCACCTTAGAGGAAATCAGGGTTCTGGCAGGAGAAAGATGCAAAGAGAGAAAAGGACTTTTATAAAGGTCCACTTACCAAGATGCGGGTAAGGGGAAGGTGAAACCAACAGGGTGGTGAAGGTAGGGGCTGGTCCCAGAGCCCTCAGTTCAGTTCAGTCGCTCAGTCACATCCGACTGTTTGCAACCCCATGGACTGCAGCACGCCAGGCCTCCCTGTCCATCACCAACTCCCGGAGCTTGCTCAAACTCACGTCTATCGTGTCAGTGATGCCATACAACCATCTCATCCTCTGTCGTCCCCTTCTCCTCCTGCCTTCAATCTTTCCCAGCATCAGGGTCTTTTCTAATGAGTCAGTCCTTCAAATCAGGTGGCCAAAGTATTGGAGTTTCAGCTTCAGTCCTTCCAATGACTATTCAGGACTGATCTCCTTTAGAACTGACTGGTTGGATCTCCTTGCAGGCCAAGGGACTCTCAAGAGTCTTCTCCAACACCACAATTCAAATGCATCAATTGTTCAGTGCTAGCCTTCTTTATGTCCCAACTCTCACATCCATACATGACTACTGGAAAAACCATAGCTTTGACTATATGGACCTTTGTCAGCAAAGCAATGTTTCTGCTTTTTTTTTTTTACTTTTTTTTTTTTTTTAATGTTTCTGCTTTTTAATATGCTGTCTAGGTTGGTCATAGCTTTTCTTCCAAGGAGCAAGCATCTTTTAATTTCATGGCTGCAGTCACCATCTGCAGTGATTTTGGAGCCCCCCTGAAATAAAGTCTGTCACTGTTTTCATTGTTTCCCGATCTATTTGCCATGAAGTGATGGGACCGGATGCCATGATCTTATCTTGGTTTTTTGAATATTAAGTTTCAACATTTTCCAGCACTTTTTCACTCTCCTCTTTCAGTTTCATCAAGAGGCTCTTTAGTTCTTCTTCGCTCTCTGCCATTAGGGTGGTGTCATCTGTAAATCTGAGGTTACTGATATTTCTCCTGGCAATCTTGATTCCAGCTGTGCTTCCTCCAGCCCAGCGTTTCTCATGATGTGCTCTGCATAGACGTTAAATAAGCAGAGTGACAATATACAGCCTCGACATACTCCTTTCCTGATTTGGAACCAACCTGTTGTTCCATGTTCAGTTCTAACTGTTGCTTCCTGACCTGTATACCTCCTGAGATTTCGCAGGAGGCAGGTCAGGTGGTCTGGTATTCCCATCTCTTGAAGAATTTTCCACAGTTTGTTGTGATCCACACAGTCAACGGCTTGGGCGTAGTCAATAAAGCAGAATTGTATGTTTTTTTTGTAACTCTTGCTTTTTTGATGATCCACCGGATGTTGGCAATTTGATTTCTGGTTCCTCTGCCTTTTCTAAATCCAGCTTGAACATCTGGAAGTTCACGGTTCTTGCACTGTTGAAGCCTTGGAAAATTTTAAGCATTACTTTGCTAGCCTGTGAGATGACTGCAGTTGTGTGGTAGTTTGAACATTCTTTGGCATTGCCTTTCTTTGGGATTGGAATGAAAACTGACCTTTCCCAGAGTCCTAAGAGGGTAGAAAGGGCCTCTGGGCAGGGCCTGGGGCCTCAGGGAGAAGACAGGTGTGTGGCCAGCCAGGAGGAAACTGGGGAAATTCTCCAACTTCTGGGCTGGAGTCCAAACTCACAGGAAGCCAGGGGAGAGTGGGGGATGGGGTCACCGATGCAGTCCCAGAGCACAGGGCAGGGAGGAGGGAGGAGGGTGGGTCTGGGGGCAAATCTGGAACACCCACCCACCTCTTCTCTTCCAGGGCTAGGACTGGACTCTTGACCGGTTCCCCCCTCCCCGCCCCCCCAGTCTTGTTCTCTCATCCACGCCCTTCGGGAGCCGCAGCTCTCGGAAACCCTCATCTGAGTAGGTCTCGACCAGCATCAAGCACTCCCTGGGCGCCGCTCCGTCCTTGGGATGAAGCCCAAGCTCCCCGATCACCTGGCCACAGGTCCCTCCCCTGCCCCCTTGGACCCCTCAGGTCCCCACGCAGTGCAAGCTCCCTCCTTCCGCTGAGCCGGGCGCAGGTGGCACCGCCCACCGCCGGGCGCAGTGCTGGGACCCTCCTCGCCCTTCCCTCTGCAGGTGCGTTTCCCCCAGAGCTGCCGTGGCGCTCCGTCTGTACCGTAGGGTGCGGAACCCCCCAGGTCAGGGCCTGGCTCTGTCCGGGGACGGAGACCGTGGGGCGGGGCGGGCCCAGGAGCTCCGGGTGCCGAGCAGGGGGGGCCCGGTCGCGCCCGTGAACCCTCCGCGGCTCCGGCCGCCCAGGCCCTGAAGCCCAGCTCCCAGAGCTTCCCTTGCTCTGGCCGCGAGCCTCCTCCCTCCGCCCAGGCCTGCCATGACCGTGAAGGCGAGAACGCCTACCTGCCGAACCCCACCGCGGCGTCTGCCCCCGCCGCGCCCGCGCCCCGGGCATTAATCCCTCTTGCCTGGAGCTCCTGGGGCACCGGACACCTCTGTGGTAGCGCCCAGCGAGGGGCGAGCGGCCCGGGGGGACTCTCTCCCGGACCCTGCGCCCCGCCCCGGGTGGGACGGAGGAAGCGCCCGCGACTCGCCGGCCCCCGGCCCTCCGAGAGAACGCCTGGGGTCGGGCGCCGGGGGCTCGCGAGGGTGGGGCGCGCCCTGGGGCTCCCCNCGCCTCCGGAGCAGCGTGGGCGGCGGGCAGGGGGCCGAGGTGCGGGGTCCAGTGGGCCGGACAAAGGCGCGAGGGTGGGGGCTGTCGACGCACCTGGCCGGGCCGGTCCCCGCCGCCGCGGAGGCGGCTCGGGTCTGCGCCTGACCGGGAGGGGCCGCCGAGGGCGTCTGCGCGGCCTGGAGAGAGGGGTCCCCGCCCAGGCACCGGCTGGGCCCCGGCGGTTCGCGGCGGGCGCTGATTCAGAGACGGCGCCGCCCCCTCCCCCTCCAGGCCCGGCGCTCCCGCCGGCCGCCTCCCGGCCTGGCCTCCTCTCCGCGGTCCCTCCCTCCGCCTTCCTCCTCCTCCTCCCTGTCTCCTCATTTCCCTTCCCCGCCGCCGCCGCCGCCGCCGCCGCCGCCGCCTCTCCGCCGTCGCTGCCTCCTCTCCCGGCCCGGCCCCGGCCTCGGCTTCTGTTCCGTCTGCCCCTTCCAGCCGCCCGCCGCCGCCGCCGCTCCCAGCCCTTCTCAGTCCCTGCCCAGGGCGACTCCTCCTCCCCGCACCCATGGGCGGGTGGCCCTTCTGGCTGTGGCGGCCGAGGGGACAAGTTTGGGGTGTTTATTATTCTCCCTCCTAGCAACGATGGTCAGCCCAGCTCCGAGCCGGCGCAGGCTGCTGGGGAGCGTCCACTGCTCCAGGCCTGGGCCTTTTTGGGATGGGCTGGCAGTGGCAGGAGCGGCCTGGCTCGGCCGCAGCCGCATCTCGGGGCTCTGGGGGTTTGGCCCCCCTTTGCCAGCAGAGGCTGTGGCCTTCTCTGGGTGGGGTCTCCGTTCCCACCTGCTGGTGGGGACCTAGGAGCGGGTGACGGCAGAGGGCGGGAGCTGGGCGGGGTGGGGGCTGGGAAGCACCGTGATGGGGCGGGCCTGCCCCTGGAGAGCGCGCTCCCAGGGCTGCGGGGGCTCGGAGGTGCCCACCTGCTCGGCCTCCAGCGCCTGCCCCTCTGGCTGGACCCTGAGGAAGGGCAGGGGTTCCAGGATGGGGGGGCTCTGGCAGGCTAGGGCCATCTTCTGGGTGGATTTTGTCTGTCTTCCCACCTGCTTGCCCGAGGTGGCACGGGGTATGCCATGGATTACATGGTCACTCGGGCCTTCACCGATGGGTGGGGCCTGGTGTTGAGAGCTGGCTCTTAGGAGCCTCAGGCAGAGGTCCGGGTGTGGGCGTTGCAGGGAGGAGGCCTGGGGGTGCTCCCCCAGGGTGCCAGCACCTTCTCTCTCTTCCTGGTTAGTGGCTCAACGCTCACCAAGTCCCCGCCGCACATGGTGAGTCAGGTCAGGGACCTGGGACGTCCAGGGCTGGCCTCACAGGTGTGTGACATGCGCTTGGACCCTGAGCTGGGTGTAGCCGTCTGCTCTTCCTGTCCTGAGCTCCTCCGTGACTTTGGAACAGGCCAGCTGCATTTCATCCCACACTTAGCACCCAGGGTGACAGCATGTCCTAGGCCCTCCAGGGCCTCTGCTCTGCTCCTGGACCAGCCACTGGACTCCCAGGCACGCCTGACCCAGCATCTGGGCCCCGGCCCGTCCCTCTGCCTGAAGCCCAGCCCACGGGGCTCGTGAGCCCGCGTCCCCATCACCCGCCTTGGATGGACCTCTCCCCCGAGCACGGCCACCCGCCCCTGTTTCTCTGTGTCGCTGGCACCTTTGCACAAGCCGCTCGCCTCCTTGGCACCCGCCAACCGGCTGGAAGGAAGCCCCGTGATGCGGGGACGGCGTGCGGCTCCCAGAACCCAGGATGCCGCCTGTGTGTGCGCACGCCCGCTCCAGGAGCGTGGCTCGGGCGCTTGTGGGCGGTGCTCCGAGCGTGTCTGGAAGCTGTGTGCACGCGTGTGTGGCATGGGTGTGTCTGCACACTTGGCGCCCGTGCCCTTGTGCTGGTGTGGGGACACGTCTCTGGGCAACGGGCGTGGGTCCCCCCCACCACATCTGCCCCCAGGACCTCGGGCACTGCAGCACCACCCGCCTCCTGGGCCCTGGAGGGGCTGCCTGCTGCCTTGACCCCCCGGACTGGCCTGGCCTGGGGGGTGTCTGCCAGAGACATTGGTGCCCTCTCATGGCAAGTGTGCTGATGGCTCAGGGCGCTTGCCTCCAGCCTGCAGTGTCCAGCTGCGGGAGGCAGGGCCTCTGGTTCAGAGTCTGTGTCCGGGGCTGCAGACCTGGCCTCATGGGGCCCCTGAGGCTGCTTGCGGAGTCCCCCCAGGAGCAGGTTATGGGAAGTCATGAGGGTCCACGCACAGGCAGTGTGGCAGACGCCCCGCATGCCTGACCCCTGGCACCCAGACAGAGAAGAGGGTACACGTGGGCCCAGAGCATCAGGGGGGACCTTAGCCTGGGAGGGGGTCCGTGGAGGGCAGGCACGGTCCGGGAGGGGCTGGCCTGGAGCCCAGCATTTCCAAAAGCAGCCACAGCGGTGGCACCGTGAAAGTGCTTGAGGCCCAGTAGGCCAGGCCCTGCGTGGGCCTTTGGGGTGCCCAGGGGCCGGGGCCCAGGCCAGCGATGCCTTCTCTGATGACGCCTCCCACCCCCAGGGCCGGACGGGCCTCATGAGCGCCAAGATGAGCGTCACCTCGTGGTTCCTGGTGAGCAGCAGCGGCACCCGCCACCGGCTCCCCCGAGAGCTCATCTTCGTGGGGCGGGACGAGTGTGAGCTCATGCTGCAGGTGAGTGTGGGCACCCGCGCCGGCCGGCGGGGGCGGGGGGCAGGGAGAGCCCGCCCTGCTTCCTGCAGGTCCCCCGCAGAGGAGGCCCTGGGTGTCTCTGCCTGGGCCCTGGGCCCACAGTGGGCCCATGGGTCTTGGGTGGGCTGTGTGCTCAAGGGCAAGGGGCCTGGGCCTCTTCTAACGGGAGGTGCTGATGCCGTGGGACTCTGAAGGCGTCTAGCCCGCCTTTGGAAGGTGCCCGAGGGCGGATCTGTGCACATCCTCTTCACCCGGGGGCCCCAGCTGGGCTGGGAATCAGGGGCCACAGGGCCGGCTCTGACCAGGGGAAGCCCAGTGCCCTGGTGGGGCTGGAGAGGCCTGCAGGGCACTAAGTGCCAGGGTGCCAGGCACTTGGCAGTCAGGAATTTCTGTCTGGCCCCAGTGTGTGCTGCGCTGACCTTGGTTCCCGAGTCTGGCTCCTAGGATCAGGGAGGGGAGGGCGGGGGGCCGGAGACCTGATCCTGCAGGGTCCACAGGGTTCCCCAACACTAATGGTTGTCACTGAGTCGGGCTTCCTGCAGCCCCGAGCCCTCCCCGGCATGGGGCCTGGGCCCCTGTCCCCAAGGCCTCCAAGCTCCACAGGTCCCATCGTGGGACTCTCAGGAGGGACTCTCTGTGGGCTGCACTGCCTGGTCCAACCAGTGGCCCGCTCAGGGCCGGGTGAGACCCTGTTCCCTGTGCTGCCCCCTCACTCCCTGGGTTTCGTGAGGCTTGGGGCAGCCAAGGATCCCAGCCCAGTGCGTGTCCACTTGGGCAGCAAGTGCAAGGCCTGTGCATGTCCAGACAGCCTGGCTCCTCTAACGATTTGCCTGCTGCCTTGCTTGTTTGGTCTTTTCAGTATCTCTGATCTAGAGTAGCCTCTCCCTTCTCTGTGCATCTTGCCTTTGGAAGTCACCTTTGGAAGGCTCTGTGCAGGCCTGGGCAGGTGTTTTCTGTAAAGGGCTGGGTACCAGGTTGAGGCCTCGCAGGTCGCATGCCTCCATCACAGCCCCTCGCCTTCGCTGTTGCCGCGAAGCCCTGTGCACAGTCCAGCGGGTGCCAGTCAGACTTTGTGATGTTGAAATGTCAGTTTCACGTTATTTTCACCTGTCCTGAAAGAGTCATTTCGTTTGATTTTTTTTTTGACAGTGTGAAATGGAAAGACTGTTTCTCGGGCCCACATAAAACAAACAGAGGCCGCAGACTGTGCCTCCGGGGATGGCTGATGGTGGTGTCATGTGACATGACCCCTGTTGCCTGTCAGTTGCTGAGAGATCTGAAGGGCTCGCTGCCTTTGGCCCTGACCCCTGGCAGGGGGCTGTGTGTTCCCTGCTGTGACCGAGTGTGTGGCCCACCCGGGGTGGCCCAGGGGGCCTCTCATAGGTGGTGGCACCTGATGGGAGCCTGCAAGGACCTGGGAGTGCTGGGGGGGCCAGTGTGCTGACTCCTCCCTCCCCGGCCCCGGCCCTGTCCCCAGGTCCTCACTCTGCCTGCTGCTTTTCCCCAAGGTTGGAGGAGAGGCTCCCGGTGCAGCGGCGGGCAGGGTACTCAGAGTGAGTCTGGGGTCCGACTCCCAGTTTCTGGGCCAGTTGGTGGTGGAGCCCTGAGCAGGGTGGAGGGCCGGGCCAGCTCCATGCCGGGCCAGCTCCTGGCCTGGATGCACCCTCATTTCTGCCCTTGGCTGCCCTGGGCCGTGTGTCCATCACACAAGGAAACAGCCTCCAGGTGGTCGTGTAGCTGGAGAGTGAAGTGGGAACGCCACCTGTGCCACCCACCGGCCCCTTGCTCAGGACACCCCACACCCTTGTCTCCTGGGCTGTGTGGTCCTGCCAGCCCCCTTCACCCGCGACCCTCTGTGGAACCCCTGCTAGGGAGTTTCTCACCGGCACACCCCCGCCCGACCTCAGGCCCCCACCCCTCACTGCCTGGACTGAGCCCCCCACTGCCCAGCTCGAGTCCCCCCCGTCCCCGGTGCCTGGCCTGAGTCCCCCCTTCTGCGTGACCTGAGTGCCCCCACCCGGATGGGATTCCCTTCAGCTTCTCCCAGGGGCAGCTCCAGGCTCCCCGGCATCCTGGCTCCTGCCTGGCAGCCCTCGTGGCTGCCCCTCGGCCTGGGCTCTGGCACACGAGGCCTCTCCCTAGAGGCCGTCCACACCTACAGCCTCGGTCCCCGTCTCCGCGCATGTGATGCACATGGTGACTCTCGCCGCCCTGTCCCCAGCCCCCTGTGTCCCCAGCTCCTGGGGGTCTCAGAGGCAGCCCGGCCTGCTGCTGCTTAACAGACCCCTTATCCTCTGGCCCGCCAGGTGTCCAGGGCAAACCCCGACCTTCCCTCTCCCACCTCGCGCCTCAGGTGTCCGTGGGTGCCGCCCAGCCTCCAGGCCTCCGTGGGGCCCCGCCTGTCCTCGCTCTATGGTAACCCCATGCCTGTCCCAGCCCTTCCACTTAGCTGCCCTCTCCCGTCCCATCCTCACCCTCTTCCAGCTGTGTGTTCCTGGAGCGCCCAGGCCTGCTCTCTGTGTCTGTTCCCACATTTGTCGCTTGAGGGTCACTGGCCCCGTGCTGGAGCCTGGGGTCCCCATGGCAGGGCTGGGCCGGTCACAAACACATGGGAGGAGCCAGATGACCCCCCAGGAGACAGACCGAAGGTGCCGCAGGGGTTGGGACAGGGGGTGTGTGACATGCTGGGAGCCGAGGGGGAGGAGCCTGGGGGTGCTGCTGGAGTGGGGAGTCCTCTCGGGGGATGGAGGAGGCCGTGCGATGAGGGGAAGGCTGGGAGCAGGGGGCTGCCCCGAGGCTGTGCTGCCATCCAGGCAGGGGCCTCGGAGGGGGTACCCGGGTGGGGCGCTGTGTCACGGGGGTGGTGCTGCCCGCCTGGCCTCGCTGCCCCCAGACTCTCCAGCCAGCCGCCCACACACCTCAGGGCATGGCTCCCGGGGCTGAGCCTGGCTCCCCCCTGGGCCTGAGTGAGGATGAGAGCGGGGACCCGGGCCCAGGCCTCCGGCTGTGAGTCCTGCACTTGTGGCCCAGGCTCTGGTGCAGGGCGTGTGTCATTACGTGTGCACACACATGTATGCACGCACAGGCGTGTAGGTGCACATGTGCATGTATGCATGCACACGTGCATGTTGACATGTCTCTGTGTGAGAGAGAGTGTGGCGAGAGGTCCTCTCTGCTTCCACCTGTTCACCCCTTGGGAGGGCTCGTCTGCTCACATCCTCACCCAGAGACCCGGCCCGGAGCCCCTGCACACACACCCCACAAAGGCAGGCCGTGGGCGCTGCGGCCCAGCTGGGTGGCGCTGGGTATGAGCTGGCAGCAGGG